GGGGGGGTGTTGAATGGAGTCAGGATGGTGAGAAGCCAGCAGGACACATTTCCACTCACTGCAAACACCTCAGCAGTCCCACCTGACTGTGGGCACCCCCAGCTGCTCATCTTAGCACAGACTGAGGAACCTAATCCTGAGAATTATCTGGGTTCTGGTGCCACAGGGACAGAGGCCTCCAAACTACAGCAGAACACATCATGCAGACTGCGCAGGCAGATGGAGAACTGCCTTAGCTCTGGGGACAAGCAGCAGCTCTCTCATTGCCCAAACGAACCTAAGTATCTGCTCCAAGCCCTGCCTGTCAGGCCCTGAACTGAGAGGATGTCAGGGCAGATCCCCTCCTTGCCCCATCCATTCCTCACCCCCCCTGCCCTCCAGAGGCCTGCTGGGATTGCAGATACCACCGTCTCTTGAGCCAAGGTGTCCCCCACCCCGACCGCACACTCACCTCTGCTCTACTATGTTGTCTTTGCCCCGGTAGCAGCTGCGAAGGAGGCGCCCGCTGCTGGCATCAAACAAGTGGCTTCGCAGGAAGTCAGCAGCACGCGTGGCCCGGCTAATGTACTCCTCTTTGCCAAGGATGGCCCCGCTCTGAGCAAAGCCCGAGATCATCAGCCCTGTGTAGTAAAGAGACACAGAAGCAGAGACTCGCTCAGGCCTAGGGTCAAAGGCCATTCACTGATCAGAAAGCTTGGTTCATCTACTCCACGTGACAGTTATCATCCACAACCTTCCTGCCAGGCTGATGGTGGGATGGGGTCTCATTTACCATCTCCTGCAATCAGCTTAAGCTACACTATAAGCTGCTTCTCCTTGCAGTGACAGGGGCTAGAGAAAGGCTCCAAAATGCTGGTTATACCCAGAGGAAGAACGGGCTCTCTGCAAAGGCTCTCCCACAGCTACTGTGCACCACAACTGCCCCTCAGGACTCAGCTCCCAGATGGTCTTGGCCAGCAGACCCTGTTTTATGTGGAGGGAACTGCAGCTGAGACACTGAAGTTATCAGCTTGTATGGGATGCCTAGACACATATTAGAGGCAGCCCCTAAGCTTGCCTCCCCCCATGCCACCCTGCTGTACCAGTGCTGGCCATTGGCTGATCCTAGCCTGGGACTTGAACCGACGACCTTGAAGTGCTGCTCTGCATGGATGCTTGCTTTTACAGTTCATACTACCTCTAAGGATGTAGCACAGAAAACACGGGTAAGGTTCTGCTGCCCCCTGCTGGGCAAGGGGGGGACAGGCCCAGGGTGGTCCAACCAGCCTGGCTTTGCTCAGCAAAGACCCTGCTCTTCTCCCAGCCGCACCATGGGCTGGAGGATAGCTGCACTGGGAATGAAGAGGACCCCTGGGCCAGACCTGCAGGGGAACCGTCTGCCAGGTGCCTTCCCAGGAGGGAAGACTCCCCTCAGCCATGCTCCCTGGGGGCCCCCCACCAGACCCAGGGACCTGGAGAAGAGAGGTCGGAGCCCTCCAGGCACCAGCAGCCCACCCAACCAGGAGCGGAAGGGGTTGGGGGTAGACCCCAGGCAGCAAGAGGAAGGTGCAATGGAAACCAGGGGCTGTGCTAAGGGAGAGGCAGAAAATGAGAGTCTGGGGTTACTTCCTGCCTGCTGTGGGGCTGCCCTGAAGCGGAATCCCACGTGCCAAACCCCCCCCAGTAGGGCAAATAAACAAGCAGCCACCCTCCCCGTCCAGAGTCCGTCATCTCCGTATGCCCAGGGGGCTGCCAGCTGTCCTCCAACACCCTCTGCAGCCTCCTATGACACAGGTACGGAGGAGCCAGCAGGCAGCCCCATGCAGAGAATCAAAAGCACTGGAATCAGACTGCACTGCTCCCTACTGGCGATGAACCCAGGCCCTGTGTACCTCCCCTCTGACCCATTTCTCACTACCTAGTGGCTGGGGCAATTAATAACAGCAGCCTTCCAATTGCTAGTCTCTCCACAGATCTCAGTGCTTCCTAGGATGGGCTGCCCCCTCCCAGGCACACACTGTACCAGGGCTAGATTAAAGTAGGGGCAGGCAGGTCCCAGGATAGGGACCCTGCTCTTGGAATCATGTGATAAAAGGCTGAATCCCAGCTCCCACCTAAGACCTCTGTATATTCTCAGGCCTCACCCTGGTGGAGGAAAGCTTGACAAGGCCACTCAAGTGTAACAGATGCTGCCTGAGTCTGCAG